TGCAAATTTACTATTATAAATGACTTGTTTAGAATAAAAACTTATAGCTCATTAAGGAAGATTCACTTGACTTGCATAAACAGTTACATTTCTGGAAGAAATATGGAATCCCATGAATAATAAAAAAAAGGAGCAGCAATCGACAGACACAGGCTTCAAGCAAAAATCAGAACTTACAATTTAATCACATTAAAAATATACCATTTTTTTTCCAGCATCTTCCCCTAGGGCACTGGCAGTTTACAGCTTATAGCTAAAGAAGCCTAGCTATCCAATGAAGCACTTAAATGACAAAACAACAACTTTCCTTTGTTGTTTTGAGAAAGGTTCTAATTCTGTTAAAGCAAAATACTCAATATACTGCTGTAGGCTCTCATAATTCAGAGACAGGTCACCTTTCTGGCACCAACGCAAAAGTGTTGAGATTACAAGACCTGACGTGCCTCCATTCTTTCAGGCTCAATAATACAGGGACATCACGTGTTCTTTTTATAATGAGAAAGCCAATACATCAGCCTTTGATCATCCCCCTTGCTTTTGGTATGGGACAAAGTTTCTCAACCCCAGAAATGCCCGAGACAAAAAAAAAAAGCTAAGACCAAAAATTGTACTGACAGTACCTTCTAGAGACTACCTGCTCACCCATAAAACAAACAAGGTAAAGTTTCAAAAACAAAACAAAAAAAAACCCCAACAGCGGTATGTGAAATAGGAACCTCCTCCCTCAAAAGGGTCAGATACACACCTAAGCTGGTATCTTAACCCTACTAATAGTTGAATTTTTCAGAATGGCAGTTACACAGATTTCATGGTAATTAACATCTTAGTTACCAAATGGAATGAAAAGGAACTTAGCTGTAGTATCATTAAGTGTTCTTACCACTGACGGGATAATGAATGGCTTCACAGTAGCAGGAAATTCTGAAAGTCTCCTGTGTGTACAATGATTCTGCTTTTCAGAAGACATTCACTTTACTACAGCCAACAGCGAGCAATACAAAAATGCACAAATGTTTCTAAGCCATGTCATTAAAGGTGATGAAGCATAAGGGAAGATTAATGAAATTTATCATATACATATGCATTCATATTTTATATATATATATATATATGGATCGCTTCCCTCCTCCCCACAAAGAAGAAATAATTTCCTGTATCTTGAACAAGACCACTCCATTAGCAAAGGTTAAGAGCTTGACAGAAGCTGCATCTGCATATCTTGGTTTACTATGTACAACTGTATTGGCCATAAATTGCAGGGTTTCAGTAGCAGGGGCTGCACGGGTGACACGTGGCAAGAGGCTGCGCACTGCCCTGTGCAAGTCAAAACAGGTTCTAGCCTGCGCTGAAACTGGTGTAAACAATCCACTGCGTGCCAGAACGTCAGAGGTGTGCGCAGCGCCTCTTAAACACAGTTAAGAAAGAGCGGCAGCTGCTAGCAAGAGGTGCGGGGAGACACCTAAGGAGAAGATACTGGGGAAGAAACACACGTGGAGAAACTGAAGAGCTGCTCTCGGGAAAACACATGGAGAAGACACTGAGGACACGTACAGAGACACGCCCACAGAAGGACACGCTCCACGGCTGAGGAGGTTCACTTCTGAGGGGACTCTGGCCTACAGGTAAGCCATGCCAGAGCAGGTACACCTCCGGAGGAACCGAGGCCCACAGGAGACCCAGGCTGGAAGAGGCGCGTCCCTGAAGGGACTACGGCCCAGTGTCACCACGAGCAGGGACACCGAGCGGCCCAGAGCAGCAGAGGACACCCACCAAGAAACTAAGAGCGTCAGGCAAGCCGCTGCGCGTACGAGCCCAGCCTGCCGTGTGATCTGTCAGCTCACGAAAAGAACTGGCACGGACTGGGTGCAGCTCTCTGTGAACGGGGGAAACGCTACAAAGGCAGGGAGGAGAGGTGTTAGACTTACGTTGAGACTGAGGAAGGGGGAGGAAAGATGTTTCCTTAAGTGTTTACGTAATTTTTTGTCATCTTTTCCCCCAAATACCTGAATCGGTGATTAGAAGTTTGTCAAAGGGCAATAAATTAAACTCAGGAAAAACACCGCAAGTCAACTGTTCTGCCTGTGATAAGCAAAAGTAAGGATTTTAGACACGTATCTCAAGCTTCCCTTAAATCATCAATCCTCTCAACTAGATCTCATAACAATTATATCAGTATTTTCCTGCAATCAATTGGTTTCATGTAAACTAACATCAGAAAGCCAAATGCTACAGTGGATATCAATCAACAAAAATCAGTGGAGCAACATTTGTTGGAGTTTCAAGACAATGTCATAATAGGGGGTAAAACAGCAATAGGCAAATATTAAAAAGTTACTATTCATGCTAAGTCATTAAAAAAGGACATGGTTCTATAATATGATCTACTGGACCTGTTATAAAACCTTTAAAGTGTCTCTCGCAGTACATTTTTTTAAAGCTTTATTTCAAAGTAATCTAACTGCAAATAGGAGTAATGTTTAACTTTGAAATGTCCCATATAAAAGTCATTCCAAGCTGGTAAAAGAAACAGTTTTGCTGGCAGCTCTGTAGGATGGTCTGGGTTTAACAGAAATAATTTTTTGCTTGACCATGGTTTTCAGCCTGGTGTTTCTGACCAGCCTTTTTTATGGTTGAATGGGAAGAGGCACCCTTAACCTTTTTATGCAACACTGAAGTGACAATTTGAAAGGGGTTGAGAACTAATGTAATATACAAGATCATTCTTGAAATGAGTATGAGAATACCTTCCCTCAAATGTGATGATGGTACTTGCAAAAATGACACCCTGTATGTAGTAAGGCCTTGGAGAATGGAAAAATAGGGCCACTGAGTGCAAGAATCCTTTCCTCTACACTCATGTAAACAGGCAAGCATAATTTTTTTTTTTTTTTACTATTAAAAAAAGACAGTGTTAGCAGTGTGGAAACAAACCATAAAGGGAATATAATTTCTAAGTTTAAAAAACATAGTTATAAAGTTTTATGGTTTGTTTTTTTTTTTTTTAAATACAAAGTGCTTCTATACATTAAGCAGGTTACAGTGTTAGTGAGCAATCCCTGTTTAGTTACCTTGATTACAAGGGTTATATATGGCCACCATGGTATACTGTAGAGTTCAATTAAGTGCTAAGAATAGGAACTCTGTGGTGCTGACCATTCATGCCCATTGCCAGCAATGGGTTCATCATATTTGGGAATATCTGTTTTAACAAAATTCCATATGAAAAATATCTGAAGCATTAGAAGATTAAGAATTAAGAGCCTCTTAAAAAAATTAAAGTTTGCAAGTAGAATGCCAGAAAAGAAGTTACAGTAATTACAGCCCACTGAGTAGTAAACCCCCAGCTTGTACCAGACATTCCTGTTCAGGATACAGTTCAGTTGTATCTTAAGACAATTTGTAACTGGGAGTTCAAAAAAAGCATCTAAATAGTAATTATCTTTGTGTGGTTTTGCTTCACCATACAGGGTCATCTAAGTACATTATCCTGCATATTGCAGTATCTAATACATAAACTGGGGCCAGACAGGCTTAGGCCTTTGATGCTGGTTAACTTTTTACCCCCCACATTACCAGCACTGTACTTGGACATCACCTCTTTCTGTTATAGTCTATGTATGCTCTAAAGGCTCTTTCCTTTTTATAATATGTTTCCGTAAACTACAAAGAAGGGTTAATTGCTTTTGCACAGGACTGCATTAAGCTTTCAACCCCAAACTCCTGTTGCCACCTTTACAATTGATGCATTCACTCTACCTGCAGAGCTGGCAGCATCTCTCAGAACTACAAACACTCCTCCATCTATCTCCAAGAATGAGAGCCCAGCATATAGATCCTCATCCTAACGAAGCAGAAGTGCCACTTTCCCAGCAAAAATCCAGCCTTTGGACATGAGCATGGTACCATGTTCTGCAGTACCATTAATAGATCCAAATACCATACTTGCTATTTCTTTCCACAAGCAACTTCATTTGAAGAGGTAAACAACTCTGGCTGCTTGTGGTAACATGTAACCAGTCACAGTAGTTCAGTACCAAGAATCTGTATTATAGTTCTTACTATTCAAAGAGTAAAGAATTAAAAGTATAAATACCTATCAATGACTAAATCAGGTTTCTAAAACTAGATAGAAGTTCTCAAAGAAGTTTTTGTACCAATAAAAAGTCAATTAGTGAATCCAGAGAGTTTGGTACTTGCTACTGTAGTAAGCCACAAAAATCTGAGCCGAAAACTACAGTTTAATTGTTTGCTTATTTTGGATAAGTTCCAAGCATTACTCTTTTTTTTTTTTTTTTGGACAAAACATACTTATTACACACACTTCTACAAGCTTCTAGACCCTAGAGGAGCAAAGACAAATTATACTTAATACAGACTGAAGTTTATATAGTGCTTAACTATAAGTGCCTTACAGACTCCAAATGGAAATCGGCACAAAATTAGACAACATTTGTTTTACTGAAGACAGATAAAAAAAATGGAAGACAGATAAAGGAAAGCCAAGCCATCTCTAATACAGCCTTTCATTAAGCAATACAGCAAAGGCTATTTAATGATGTACACTATCTAATGATGCATGTTAAGTATGTCAGCAGTCTCCAGTTTGAGGTGGAATTCTAATTTTTTTCAATAAAACGTGAATCACATAACCTGGTTTGATCATCCTAGTTCTTTTTCATTAAGTAGGGCTACTTACTGCTTCATCTAAGTATTTGCAGGATTTGGGTCAATTTAGAGCTGGGTTTTACTATGAATTTAGAAAACTTAGGAAAACAACAGGGCTTCTAAATACTGCTGTGATTACAATCCATGTCACAAGGACCTTACAGACCTCATTTTGCAAGCACCTTTCAGATTAACCATTTGCACTTCATACATTGAACACCTGGAGTAATACTGTGGAAAATAAAAGTTTGGTCTGCTTATACCAGCATAATCATTAAAACTTGGGTTTTTTTGAGAATTTACAATAGCAAGTACCAGACGTTATTTGCATAATTAGTTTATTTTGCTTACTCTACTAAACAAATGTAAGCACTAATGTCTTAGTTCATCTCAGTAGTACTCTGCTCAGCTTTAGAAGCTTGATATGACTTGGTACAAGAGGTCACATGCCGATGAAAACTGTCCCGCCACATAAATCTTTTCCCACAGATGTTACACTCATACGGTTTTATGCCTGTATGGATTTTCATATGGCCTACAAGATGGTGTTTCATTTTGAATTTCTTACCACAGACACCACAGCCATAAGGTCGAAGACCAAGGTGCATACTCATATGCCGATCTCTCTGACTTTTGTGTGTAAAGCTTTTACCACACTGACAAGGATACAGCTTGTCAGCATGTGAGAATCCAGTGAGGGACGTTTCTTCTTTAATTCCCGTGGCCATTTCAATGCCTTCACCGTAGCCTGCTGCTATCATAAGATCCTGTCTATGAGCACTTATATTTCCATCTGCCCTTTCACCAGAAAATTCTTCCATAGAAGAGCCATAGAAGTCAACTTGCTCGTCATAATTACTTTCATCTGCCTGCTCATCAAATTCTGCTTCCATCTTTTTGTCACCTATATGGAAGTCTTCAACACCTGAAGACTGGATTGAATGATCTGCCTGAATGGCATTCATGGATTCAGAAACTTGGTGTTCATCATAAGGATTATCAACACCTTCACAGTCTTGTTCAAATCTTTCTGGTTTCACATGGATCCACCGCTTGTGAGACATGATGCTGGGTTTGCTATACATAGGTCTGGTATACTGATACTCTGCACTATCACTAGTTCCTTCTTCACCATCCTGACTTGTCATTCCAGTGCTAAGTCTATCATGTTCTGTTGAAGAATTACTGGGAAGGTACTCATGTTCTGTTAGTTGACATGACAGTTCATCTTTAGAGCTCTCTTCTTCATTTTCGCCATCCCTTAGTTCCTGCACTTTGTGGAATTCCGTCTGTCCTCCAGAGCCAAGTTCAAAGGTTTCGACAAGGCCATTGTAACTACTACTGCTCGGGGACTGATGATCACTGCCATGGTTCATCTTCTGACACAGAACTGTTGGGTTGCCCTCCAGCACTTCAGTGCATTTATCCACTACATGCCACATCTGAAGGAAACTTGCTGCTGTCAAATAACTAACAATTTCTGGAGCAGGCATTACCAGCCGACCTGTATAGGTAGACAGAAGAATGTTTTCAAATACTCTGGGATTCATCACATCAGGCAGGACTATTCGCCTGCTGTTTTTTAGGAGAACCTGATCACAGAAGTAAGGTGAACTAGCTGCAAGAACAGCTTTATGGGCTCTGAAGAGATGGCCCTGAACTACAATGGACACATCACATAATTGTCCTTGCTGGCGCTGCTGGTTTAACTTCTGCAAAATGGTGCTAGAAAAATCTGGAAATTCCACTCGAAAAGAGCTTGACCCAGACTCCATTTCATTACAAATTTAGTGTTGCACTGCAAGAAAAAAAAAAAAAAAAATCAGAAATTCTGCTTAGTAAAGTACTGATCTTTCCATTTCCTCCTACACTTTTTCTTTAACAAATAACACTTAAGCAGACTCACACGGAGTTCAACCCAACATTTTCTGGAACCTATGTCACTGCTGTACTTCTATTTCTCCTACTCCACCTCATTTCTCTCTTTTCTTAAAGTTGTACTGAGGCCACAAATTGCTATGCCAGCACATTTTGTTGTGTTTCTTCTATCCAAGAGGACTCATCAACTATAGCACAAGCTACAAACAGCACGTTACCCAGCTGAGACAGATTAAGCATTTCGAGCATGATTTTAGGATAACAAAACCAGTTATTTGATGAAATTATAGCAGTAGTTCTAACTCCAGCATGTCCCAGAGTTTATAACAGCATTTGAAAGGTTCCACATTTCAACTGCCAACAAAATAATCTCATCGATCCCCCAATAAAGACTGACTGTATTCTTACAAAATATTCCCCTTTAAATGAAATTTTCAAAAGCCAACATATTGATGCATACAACGACAAAGGCAGCACAGATAGAACCCTAGTGAGAATGCGGCTTACGACTCTTCTGGTGATGTTTCCTTGTCGTTTCATTAACTGAAAGGTAGAATAGCAATATCTCGTACAGTTGCAGTACTATTATCTGATCTTTTAATTCTGAGCTTTTTGAGATGTTGTTATAACATTACTTACTTCAAGAAAAACCTCAGAGAATTTAAAATGTTAATGAGGAAAGTGATACCTCTGCTCTACAGAATTTCCTCTGCATGTACCTTATATATTTGTAACAACACAACAATTATATGCTAGAAGCTCAGCTAAGAGCTCACAGATTGTAATGTTTGTATTCCCACATGATCCAGATGTCTTATTACAAACTTAACAGTCTTTTAGGCAGGAATACAATTCTTTAAAATGCCTACTTTAAATTTTAAATTGAATTTGAGGTAAATTTGCATGTTATTATCATTAATGACAGAAATTTAAATGCAGCTACAAAAGACCAACATTAACTACCTGAATAAGATAAACTTGTGCAATTTTTCAATTTGATAATGTGTAAATGGAATACAATGGAATTCCAGAAGAGCCACGGAGTAGCAAGGAGTTTTCCTCTGTCAAGTTCTGTTTCTCATAACTGGGAAAGTGTCACAGTTTTATCAGATGGGGCTGCGCACCTGAGAAAATACTTCGTAAATTAGTAGATAGTGTATACATACAGAATTTAAAGCACTTTGTTAATATGGTGCAAAAATAGAAATTGCATTACAAACAGTTGGAGGACTGTGAAATTAAAGTACTTCTATAGAAATAAGGAATCGAGAAAATACAATTCTGAATGCCTGCTACAGAGAGCCTGTACGATAACCATGGTACTTTCCATACAGTTATGTAACCGTCAATAGAAAACTGTTCATGTGGTGCAGTGTTAAAATGCTGGCACATCCCCACAAATGTATGACTGCTAAGTGCAGAAAAAGCAGCAGTGTTTGCTTACAAAATGCAGACTACGCAGGAGTGATTATGTAAATCACCCAATGTTTAATCAACAGCTCATGGTTACATAATCCCTTCCTTACCATTTTGATCTGTTTTCCAACTCTCATTCTTGACAACTCTCCCCCACTCCCCAAAAAACTCAGTGTTCCACCTCCAAAGTTTCAGAGCTAGAAAAGGATCACAAGCACACGGAGGATAGGTGAACACAGATTATTCACTGTTACCTTACATAAAGGTGACTAGGGTTTCCAGAGAGAAGAGAGCATGGGAGTCAGAAAGCCATCAAGACTTTTCAATAAATACAGGCCCAAACTCCTTGCAAACATTGAAACTGGCACCTTCTGCAGAACTGTGACAATTATGCTTTTACATTTCCTTTTACTTTTTCACTGGAAGCATGGTTTCAATCAGACTCTCTTATGAAGGTCTCTGAAGAAAACGTGCTGGGAAGAAACACCTGTTATTTACGAAACCCATTTGTAACCATAAATAATCACAGCAACATGGTCAAAAGAAAAAAGGTACCTTTTTTTGACCACAGTTTCCTTCCTTCTTCAAATCTTACACTAATTTCCAATGCTGGGTGGCTGGAGGAACTGAAAGGACTGAATAAAACTCCAACTGGAGGACAGTCAAATGACTAAAAATTTTGCAGTTGCACACCATAACTTGCTGTATACAGTCACATTCCCTTTCACATTTTCATAAATTGTTACCGTTTTATTGGTTGAAAGAATTGTTTAACTTAAGAGGTGTCTACCAACTACCCTGGGATCCTCAGATTTAAGATAAGAATCAGTCATTCCTTTTTTTTTTTTTTAAAAAAAAACAACACTTGGTGGCATAAGGCAGTTTTCCTTCAAATACTGCCTCACATAAATCATGGGTGAGCAGTTACATTCTGCTGAGACAGTAACCAAGAGCATCAACTGAGGCAACAGCCTAAAACTTGTAAATCTAGCACACCACTACTTTCAAGTGCTTTGACTAACAGCGTTATGAAAGAGGAAAGCCCTTTACTTCACAAACCATTACTCCCCAGAGTCCCCACCCTCAGCCCTCACAGCTTCCTTTAAGTATTTGACAAGCTAAAGATGATTATGCATATCCTTAAACAAGCTTCTTGAGATGTATTCCCAAAAGTATACGCAAATTTTGACATGAAGGCGCAAACCAGAAGATAGCACCATTTCCCCACCTTTCAAAGTGAAATAGAAAGTCTAGGGACAGTAATCAACGCTCCAGAAGTAAATTAGCACTAACTGTCACACCTCCAGCGCAAATGTGGAATTTGCATTGAATGCTACTACATTTATAACCTAGCTGTCATATAATCACTTGTAGCTAGTCCAAGAACCATCTGTGTGATTGTCAATATAAACTGTTCACTACTCTGAATGGTTCTTAAAGTAGTAAATCCAATGGGATATTAGAAACAGCAGATTTTTAAATTATTTCCTTGGAAAAGGAATCTCTGAAAAGCTTGCAGTTCAGCTCATCTTCTTCAAGCTGTCACCCACATAATAGCAGAAAACCACCTTTAAATTTACTGTCTTCAGCGCTCCTCAGTTTCTTTCCTCAAAGCATCAGTCCTGCTATGTACCCATACAACCAATCCACTTCAGGAGACGAATCAGCTACTGATGTTTTTCCAGAGAGTAACAGAATACTACGCTTGCCAGTGCAATCCTTAATTTTTCTTCCCACTTTGCTTAAACCAGTTTGACAACGTTATTTAAGTATTTCAGTTACCTTATACCTAGTGTACTTTATAAGATACCTGCTTTTTTTAAACAATCAGATTTTTTTTACGCAGATGCAGTTCTTAACTTCCTTTCAGAATATTCTCAGATTTAAGACTCTATTTTTCAATACCTGCCTACAAAAAAGATAAGGCTTCAGGATACATTCAGCTGAAATTTAGAGAGCCATGTCTACAGACCTTATATAATTACCGCTCGCCTAAGCTGCCATCTTTCAGCAAGGACTCAACATGCCACCACAGAAACAATTCCGGGCGGGAGCAGACTTTTATGCATTATAAGTTCTCATGAAAACGAAAGCCATCAAAACGTAAAGTGAAATATTTTGTATTAGTAAAGCCATACACATCAAGAAAACTGTTTTTCCAAAGAGGTTTCACTTCCTCCTTTTACAATCCGTTCCATTTCTGCTTTTTCTTTATCCCAACTCATAACGAACAAAGTCTTTCTATTTTAATTAATTAAAAAAAAAAATCAATCTCCATGCTGCAACACTGAGCGAAACGTACAGGACACGTATTACTTGCTTAAAACCAAAAATACTTTAAGAAGCGGTAGCAGGTAACTACTTCCATCCCCGCACCGGGGCTCTGGAAG